GTCGTTTTCCGCTCCGGTTCTGGGCCCCTGCTGTTTCCCAACCATCCTGTGGTGTTGGGCCCTCGTTTTGAAATAACGGTCCCCGCGTTCTCCTCCTTCTCCTCCTTCTCCTCCTCCTCCCCCTCCTCCCTGCTCCCTGCGTTTCACCCACCCAGTACAAGGTTTCGTGGCCTTATAGGGAGCTCCACCGAAGGCCCCAGTGGCAGAGTTCGCATGGCGGCCTCGCCCCATTTTGGCGCACCCCTCACACGGTTCGTGGCCCCATATGGGGGCTCCACCGGAGGGTTTAGTGGCAGGGTTCGCATGGCGGCCCCGCCCCATTTCAGCGCACCCCTCACGAGGACAGTGTTCGCATGGCGGCCCCGCCCCATTTCGGCGCACCCCTCACACGGTTCGTGGCCCCATAGGGAGCTCCACCGAAGGCCCCAGTGGCAGGGTTCGCATGGCGGCCCCGAGCCATTTTGGCGCATTCCTCACACGGTTCGTGGCCCCATAGGGGGCTTCACCGAAGGCCCCAGTGGCAGGGTTCGCATGGCGGCCCCGCCTCATTTCGGCGCACCCCTCACACGGTTCGTGGCCCCATAGGGAGCTCCACCCGAAGCCCCAGTGGCAGGGTTCGCATGGTGGCTCCGCTCCATTGTGGCGCATCCACTCACACGGTTCGTGGCCCCACAGGGAGCTCCACCGAAGTTCGTGCGGCGGCCCCGCCCCATTTCGGCGCACCCCTCACACGGTTCGTGGCCCCATGGGGAGCTCCACCGAAGGCCCCAGTGGCAGGGTTCGCATGCCGGCCCCGCCCCATTTCGGCGCACCCCTCACACGGTTCGTGGCCCCATAGGGAGCTCCACCGAAGGCCCCAGTGGCAGGGTTCGCATGGCGGCCCCGAGCCATTTTGGCGCACCCCTCACGCGGTTCGTGGCCCCATTGGGAATTCCCCTTGCTTCGTCCCACCTGCCCTGCGGTTCGCACACCTGCGTATGTTTGGGCCCCTTCGCCAGGATAATTTTTCGGCTTCCCCCTGGGTTTTCCAAGGCCACCACCCCCGCTCTCGCCCCGCGGTGTAAGCAAGCTCAAAAGGCCCTCCTCGAGATCCCGCTTCAGGACCTTACCGCCGCCGTGGCCGCGCGAGAAAAAGAAGGCGCCCCACCTCCTCTCTCCTCCTCCGCTCCTCCCCCTCGCCCGTCTCCCTCGTCCTCGTCGTCCTGGGGGCCTTTCCTGGCGCGCCGGGGCGGCCGTGTCCGTAAGAACAGAACACGGCACTCGCACGGAGCGGAACTGGCACGGACGGCACTCGCACAAGCGGAGCTCGCACGGAAGGGAAGTCGCACGAGACGGAACTCGCACGGACGAAGCTCGCACGCGCGGAGCTCGCGCGTACGGAACTCCCACGAGAAAGAACGCACACGGACCGAACTCGCGCGAACGGCACTCGCGCGAAACAGAACTCGCCCAAGCGACCACGTTCAACGAATCCACGTGCGGCGGAACTCGCACGCGTACGAGTTCCGTCCATGGGAGTTCCGTGTGTGCGAGCTCATCCTCGTGCGAGTTCCGTCCGTGCGAGATCTACTCCGTCCGTGCGATTTCCGTCCGTGCGAATTTCGCTTTGCGAGCTCCGCTTCGTCCGAGTTCCGCGCGTGTGGGTTTCGCTCGGGCAGCGGAACTCGCGCGAAAATAGCACGGGCAGCGGAACTCGCACGATCACCATGACGCGCAACGAACCGCTGTACAGCCAGTAATCGAAGCAGGGACTGGGCCAAATTAGAACAGAACTAAAGAAGGCGCCAGCCAGAAGTTGTGCTTAATTCGTACCACATGATTGCATAATAAATGAACCCTGTCTGGGAAATAACAAAGAGACAAACATCAGACTGTGGAATGCCCACGCACGTTGCACTGGACACTGTGGCACGTAGTCGAACAATAACAAATATTTCTCTGATACTTCTGGTATTTCCTAACCATCCTGTGGTGTTGGGTCCTCCTTTTGAAGAGACGGTGCCCCGCGTTCCTCTCCTTTCATCCTCCCCTCCTCCCTCCTTCCCCCCTGCGTTTCACCCACCTAGTACAATGTTTCGTGGCCCTATGGGGAGCTCCACCGAAGGCCCCAATGGCAAGGTTCGCATGGCGGCCCCACGTTTTGGCGCACCCCTCACACGGTTCGTGGCCCCATAGGGAGCTCCACCGGAGGCCCCGTGGCAGGGTTCGCATGGCGGCCGTGCGCCATTTTGGCGCACCCTTCACACGGTTCGTGGCCCCATGGGGAGCTCCACCGAAGGCCCCAGTGGCAGGGTTCGCATGGCGGCCTCGCATTGTGGCGCACCCCTCACACGGTTCGTGGCCCCATCGGGAGCTCCACCGAAGGTCCCAGTGGCAAGGTTCGCATGGCGGCCCCGCCCCATTTCGGCGCATCCTTCACACGTTTCGTGGCCCCATATGGAGCTCCACAGGAGGCTCCCGTGACAGGGTTCGCATGGCGGCCCCGCCTTGTTTCGGCACACCCCTCACACGTTTCGTGGCCCCGTAGGGAGCTCCACCGAAGGCCCTGGTGGCAGGGTTCGCATGGCGGCCCCGCCCCATTTTGGCGCACCCCTCACACGGTTCGTGTTCCCACAGGGAGCTCCACCGCAGGCGCAGTGGCAGGGTTCGCATGGCGGCCCCGCCCCATGTCGATACACCTCTCACACGTTTCGTGGCCCCATAGGGGGCTCCAACGAAATCTGTATTGAGAATGCGATAGTCCCACTTGCAGATTGTTGGGCCCTTCGCCAAGATAATGTTTAGGCCAACGTGGACCCCAAACATGCTTTCCAACTTTTTTCGAAACAGTAGATGTAGTGGATTCGATATGGTGCACTGCATGTTGCGCAATCCATGCTGTGCCACATATGTTGTGCAATATTTGTTGTGCAATCTATGTGGAAAAATCCATATGGTGCACTGTGTACGGGGCGGCGACAACACCACAAGGCGGCGGACCCGACATGCAGGCCCAGACGACGGACGGCGACGATGCGTCGACGGGGCGGCGACGGCGACGACATAACCGCAAAGCCGACGCGCAGGCCCAGACACGGGCGGCGACGAGGCGGTAACGGGGCGGCGACGGCGACGACAAAGCCGCCAGACCGACACGCAGGCCCAGTTCCTTATTCCATGAACGAGAATAATCAACGACTCAGTGCAAACACTGTTCGGGGGGAATTTATCCCAAACCAAAGAATCGTTTCTGGCCCTGCCGTGTGAGACATCCACAATAAATGCCAGCTGGCTGGTTGTTTGGTTGGCCTGTTGGTTTGTTGTACGGTTGGCTGGTTGGTTCGATGAGCGGTTGGTTGATGGCTGGCCAATCGGTTGAACGGTTGGTTGGTCGAGGGTCGAGCGCACTCCCCCGGCAGTTGCAACCGTCGCGGGCTTTCCCCGGCAGTCGGGGAAACGCGTTCGAGACCCCGTACACGTTTTGGAAGCTGGCGCCGGCGACCTGCATGCCACGCGGGCTGCGGTGTCGGAGCCGCCCGTCTTCGGAGTCAGGGGTGGGTCTCCCGCCAGTCTGCCAGCGAATCAGCGAGCCTGCAGCTTGCCGCAGGCAAGACATCCAGGGTGGTCGTTGGACGCCTGTCGGGATGCGTTTTGCTGTGCGTCTCCCGCCACCCGCAGCTACGGCTGCCACTTCTCGCCTTATCGCACGTGCCTGTTTGGAAAAAAAATGAGGGAGGAAAGTTCGAGAGGGAGGCGGAGGGTGGTTCAGCAAAAGGTCGGGATGCTGACTGGAGGCGGGCCGGCGCGCTGTGCCCACTCCTCTGTTGCTTCTGCCTCGGGCTGGCATAGTTCTGAAAAACTTCGATGACGACGAGCAGCGCAGAAGAGAGGATGTCGAGAACCAATCAAGAGGCAGGGAGGAGGGGGGCGGCAAGCGGGGGCGGAGGCGGAAAGCTTTCGTCGTCGCGGCGCGGCAAAAACGATCCGCTCCCGCGTCAGGGCGAGACCGGGACACCGCGTCGCGAATTGGCCCGCAGACAAGAGGAGAGAAAGGAGGAGAGAGAGAAAGAGCGGCCGCGGAGGGGGGGCGCGAACGGGGGGCATTCTCACGCAGCGAGGCCGCGGGGAGCGCGCGGGGGCGGCCAGGCTGAATTGCAGCCCCTGGCAGCAATTGCGGGGTGGCATCACGACGCAACAAAAGGTGGGGCCGGCAACCGCAGTGCGGGCGTCCCCCAGCAAGCTTGGGAGGGGAACGGCACGCGGCCGGTATGCCGTGGCGCCGGGGCCGGGGGATGCAGCGACAGGGGCGCCTGGCGGCGGGGCACAGGCGAGGCGGAGGCGGAAGACACGGGATGGAGACAACGGGAGGCAGAAACACCGAGTGCGCTGGGCCGCGTGCCTTCCGGGCACGGGTCTCAAGGGCCGCCGGGACGCGTCGGCTCGCCCCGCTCTTCGGAGAGCTTGGCCAACAGTTCGGACGCACGCTTCTTCAGCTGCTCCGCCTCCGCCTCCGCGGCCGAGCATCTCTAGAGCCCACTGTAGCTGCTCGAATTCCCAAAGAGATGACGCCAGAGAGATGGCGTCGGGCGTCAGTTTCGCCTTCCACAACTCGCTCAGCAGCGCAAGAATAACCAGCGGCCAATGTGCGCCCTTCTCCCTCGGGCTGGTCCCAGCGTTGTAGCGAATGACGTTGGGATCCAGCTTCGCCTCCCGCGTTTCGCCACGTCCCGCCCTTCTCGTATGCGCTGGTCCCAGCCCAGTAATCGGTGACCCTGTGCTCAGAGCAGCGACATCGCCCAATTGCCACTTGCATGTTTCGAGGGCGCTGCCCCCAGCACTGTAGCTGATGATGCCGGGCCCCCGACTCGCCTCCTAAATCTCGATGGGTAGCGTCCGAACCCGCTGGCCCTATTCGCATTTTCCGCACGCGCCAGGTGCCAGCGCTGTGGCCGAGGACGTCACCTTCGCCTCCCACATTTCCCTGCGCAAAGTCCGAGCCCTCATCCAAGCTTTCTAGTTGACTACGGCGGGCTCCAATTTCGCCTTCCACGTCTTCCTGAGCGCTGCCGCTGGTCGCTCTTTCCGCCCGCGCTGATCCCAGCGCTGCAGCTGATGATGTCGGGCTTCACTTTTGCCTCCCACGTCGTGCGGAGCAGCGACAAGGCCTGCTGCGACTGCTTGCCCTTCTCGACCCTGCTGATCCCGTTGTGGTAACACAGATGACGCTGGGCTCCAACATCACCTCGCGCAATCTGGCCGAGCAGCGCTAAACTACGTTGCCACTGATTGCCCTTGTCGTACGCCCTGATCCCAGCGCCGTAACTAAGGACGTCGGGTCCGACTTCACCTCCCACGTCTTGCTGAGCAGCAACAGAGCCTGCTGTCATTGATTGCCCTGTTCGCACGCGCTGATCTCAGCGCTGCAATTGGTGATGGCATCAGGCTCCATCGCCGCCTCCAACATCTCGCTGAGCAGCGCCAGCGCCAGCTGCCACTGCTCGTCCTTTCTTTCGCCCGCTGATCCCAGCGCTGTAGCCCTGACAGCTTCCGAATCCCAACACCGCCTCTCACATCTCGCTGAACAGCGCCAGAGCCCGCTGCCACTGCCCACCTTGCACTCACGCGCTGTTCCAAAAAGTTGCAACTGACGCGCCTGTCGCATCGTCTCTCCGCAGCAGAGCGACCGTCGCAGGGCTGTAGCTGTCTGCGTTGGGTTCCAGCTTCGCCTCCCACATCTCGCTCAGCAGCGCCAGCGCCCGCTGCCACTGCTCGCCCTTCTCGCACGCGGTGATCCCAACGTTGTGACTGACTAGGGCTGACCCGTGGACTGCGTCCACTTGCGGGGTGAAGGGGTGCCGCTGCAAGGCGATCAGGATGAATGGCGTCATGTTCGCCTGCCACACATCGCTGAGCGAGGAGACTCGAGAGCGTCTGGACGCCACACCTGGGGCGCTCAAGAGCTCACTTGGGACCGGGTCGTGCTTTGTCGTTGCGTTGGGTCCGACCTTCTCGGGGCGTTCTGGGGCCGTCTGGGGGCCCTCTGAGGGGCCCCAAGATCACCAACACGCCTCCAAAATACCTCCGTAATGGCCGCCCGCCCAGAATCGGCGGGACCGATTCTGGGCCACCGCGCCGCCGACCCATAATCCCGTCCGACGCGCCCTGGGCGGCCGCGCGCGCTTCCGGGGTCGGCCGAGGCGATTCTGGGCCACCAGAAGAGCGAAACATGGTACGGCCCCAAGAGGCCGCGGAGAAGGCTCCAGACCGACAAAAAGGGCGAGGTTTTTTGAGGCCAAATCCGGCAGGGAGCGCCAAACAAGCATCAGAGGCCCATGGTGCGCTGGGAGCCGTTTTGGGACCGTCTGTGGCCGTCTTATGCCGTCTTTGGCTGCTGTTGGTACTGTCTTCGGTGCTTTTCGGGCCGTGATCTTGGGGCCCCTGGGGGTCGTTTTGGAGCCTCTCAGCGCTTCTTTTCGGCCTCCTGGAAGCCTCCTGGGCTTGGGCTGTCTCGGGTGCCTCCTGGGCCGTGTGGAGCCGGTCCGGGGCCTTCTGAGGGTTGTCTGGGGTCGTCTTGGACGTCTCTGGAGCAGTCTGGGTACCGTCTGGGTGTCGTCTAAGGCCGACCTGGGCCGCTCTTAAAGCTGTCTTGGGTACCCCGTGGGCCGCCAGGGGCGCCTCAGGAGCCGTCCTAGGGCCATCTTGGGCCTCTGTATGGCCGTCTTGGCTCTTGGACGCTGTGAAGAGGGCAAGCCCAGGAACTGCCCAAATGTACGTTACCCAAAGGAAATGGAACGATTTGTCAGTGTTCGGGCTCTCTTGGGGCTCGTCGTGGAGCACTTGGAGCGTTTTGGAAGCCTCTTGGGCCGCCTGCAGGCCATCTGAGGCGTTGTCGGGGCCGTCTGGGGGTTGCCTGGGTCCGCCTTGGGCGTCTCTGGAGCAATCTGGGCACCGTCTGGCGGTCGTCTTGGCCGTCCTGAGCCGCTCTTGATGCCGTCTTGGGTACCCCGTGGGCCGCCAGGGGCTTCTCAGGAGCCGTCCTAGGGCCATCTTGGGACCTTTTATGGCCGTTGTGGACGCTATGAAGAGGGCAAGCCGGGGAACTGCCAAAATGTACGTTTCCCCAAAGGAATGGGACGATTTGTCGGTGTTCGGACTCTCTTGGGGCTCGTCGTGGAGCACTTGGAGCGTTTTGGAAGCCTCTTGGGCCGCCTGCAGGCCATCTGAGGCGTTGTCGGGGCCGTCTGGGGGTTGCCTGGGTCCGCCTTGGGCGTCTCTGGAGCAATCTGGGCACCGTCGGGGGGTCGTCTTGGGCCGTCCTGGGCCGCTCTTGAGGCTGTCTTGGGTACCCCGTGGGCCGCCAGGGGCGCCTCAGGAGCCGTCCTGGGGTCGTCGTGCGGTCTTGGGGCCCTCATGGGAGCATCTTAGGGCGATCTGGGGGGCCTCTATGGCCGTCGTGGACGCGTCGGAAACGAAAAGCACGATAATGCCGCCAATGCGCGTTTTCCGGAGGGAATGGGAAGATTTGGGTCTCTTGGGGCTCTCCTGGGAGGTCCTCCAGGGCCGTCTTGGGAGCCTCTGGGGACGTCTTGGGGCCACTTGGGCGCCTCTTGGGCTGCCTTGGAGCCGTCTTGGGCCATCTTGAGCCGCTCTTGGAGCCCTCTTGGGCTCCTCTTGGGCTGTCGTGGGGCCTCTTGGGCCGTCCGGGGTCCGTCTGGGCCCGCCCGAAGGCGGTTTTGCCACACTGGGTCCTCCGCCATTCTGGCACGCGGCTCCCCCGGTAGTAGAATATAGACTAGGGCGGACCCGTGGACTTACGTCCACGAAATCTGTACGAACTGGCATGTGAAAGTGGACATGCTGCCGAAGAGGCCGAAATGATGACGTGGGCTTCGACCCTTGAATTTCGCACACGCTGCTGCGTGCTGCTGCGTGCTGCCTCTGTTGCGTGCCGTTGGTGATGCTTGCCGCTGCTGCGTGTTGTTGCGGCTTCTCGCCATCGCTCGGACGTCCATTCCCTGTGTTTTTTTTGGTTTCGTGCGTGGTTTTTTGGCCAAATGATCAAGGATTCTCCTCGATGGTTCTCGCCGAGAAAAAATGCACACGTCCGAGCGATGCCAGGGCTTGTGCTTGCAGGGGCGGTGCTGATGGCCAATTTTGGTTGGCGCGTGCTGCCGCCCGCCGCCTGCTGCTGCTTGCTGTTGTTTGTGCGGCCATTGCTGCTGCCCGCTCTGCGCTGCTGCCGCTCGCTGCCGCCGCTCGGTGCTGTTGTGTGTCATTTCTCGGTGCCGCAGCATGCTGGCAAGACCCGCTGCAGGGAGAGGATCGACGAGCCAGGCTCGAGGTCAAGGGGGGAGAGGGTCGGGACGCGAGGCAAGACCAGCGCAGCGCGGGGAGCGCGGAGGGAGGAGCGACGGCCGAGGGGCAGGGGGAGGAGGGAGGCGGGAGGGCCGAGGAGCGAGAGGGCGGGACGGGGAGGAACCTCTTCGGGGAGGCTCCTGGGGGTGCCCGTCGGGGGCCTCTTCGGGGTCTCTCGGGGGTCCACTTTTGAAGCCCGTGCCGGCGAGGGTCGAGGGTCGAGGTCCAGCGAAGTTTCTGCTCCTTGTGAGCCCTTGTGGGCTGCTTTCGGGTTCCGCGGCAGTCAAGCATCGACCTGGGTTGGGTTCCTCAAGGATTGCTCAAGGATTTCGTCGATTCCTCGAGGAAGCCCGGGTCTTGGGGATTTCGTGGATTCCTCAGGGTCTGGGGGCCGATTCCTCAGGGATTTCGTCGCTTTTGAAAGGGCGTTGGGTTGAAGGCTCGAGGAGCCGATGTCTGGAAGCTCTCGGCGTCAGCGTTCGCCCGAGAGAGCGTTTGTGACAAGTGCTCTTTGCGTCACTGGTTGCTCCCTGGAGTTCTGGCGTTGAGAGCTTCGGGGACATCACCGCTTGCTCTTGGGAGCCTGGAGGTGCAAAATTTTGTATTTCAGCCAAGGCCGCTTGGGGCCCGCGTCGGAGCGTTCAGAACGCCCGTCCGGGGCCTCTGGAGGCCCTCTCGGGCCACTTTGGGCCCGCTTTGGGCCGTCTTGGGGGCCTCTGCGGCCGGCGATGGGCCATGTTGTGCGTCTTGGACCGTCTGGGAGCCCTCTGTGGGCCCTCTCATGGGGCTCTTGGCGCCCGTGTGGGGTCCGCCTGGGCTGTCTTGGGGCTCTCCTGGGCTCTCTTAGGGCCTCTTGGGGCCCTCTTGGGCTGTCCCGAGGCGCCTCTCGGGGCCTCTCGGACCGTCTTGCGGCGACGGGGGGACGCTCGGGAGCCGTCTTGGACCGCTCTTGGCCCGAGGTCCTCCGGGGCCGTCTTGTGGGAGCCTCCTGGGCTGTGGCCTGGCCGCCTGGAGGCACGTCAGACCGTCTTGAAGCTGTTCTGGCGACGTCTTGGCACGTGTGGGGGCCACCCTGGGTCCCCCCCATAGCCCGACGGGAGCGACTTAGACACTCGATGATCGCCCGCTCTTCTGGCACGCACTACTCCTGGCCTTATGGGGCAGACCAAGGCTGACCGGTGGTCCCAAGACGGTCCCAAGACGGCCTCCAATGCCAAGATTGCCCCAAGGGAGCCCAAGATGGCCTCAAGCTGTCTCCATTGGGTCCCTCAAGGGGCATCGACCTTGGGAGCCTGTATGGCCGTCGTGGACGCGTTGGAGACGAAGAGCACGATAATGCAAAAAATGCACGTTTTCTGAAGGAGAAGGGGGTGATTTTTGCCTCTTGGAGCTGGAGGCCTCTGGGGGCTGTCTTGGGGGCCCCTGGGGGTGTCTTGGGGCTCCCTAGGGGTGCTCTGAGGAGGTCCTCGCGCTCCCTTGAGCCTCTCAGGGCCGTCCTGAGGCCGTCTGAGGCCGTGTTGGGGCATTTGGACGCCCCCCCATGGCGGGGCCTGGAGGGACCCGTTGATGCAGAAACCCTCCTCGCACACACCCGTCCCCGTATTGTAGGCGAAACGGCGTTGGGCTCCAACTTCACCTCCCACATCTTGCGCAGCAGCGCCGGCGCCGGCTGCAACTACTTGCCCTTTCTCGCACGCGCTGATCCTGGCATTACAGCTAACCCAGGGTGGACCCGTGGACAAAAATCCACAGAAAGCGACCTTCGATCGGAATACACTCAATGGCCACAAAAGCTGATTTACCGCATGCAGCGGTAAAGATTGCTTGTCTGCTTGATTGCTTGCGTGAAGACCTGCACTCAAGTTTGCTAGCCTGCAGCCCCGACAAACTGCTGGCGTATGCTTCATCTGATTGCCGATGATACCTTGGAAGCTGGGCAAAGGCTGGCAAATCCGTGGCTGCTAAAACGGTCTTCTCGGAAAAACAAAACAGATTCCCGGAATCAAGCTCAGCGCACTAAATAATAAACGGGCTGCTTCCCGGAAGAAAGCAACAATCTCCAGGAGCTCCGTTCTAGCAACCACGGGCTTGCCAGCCGTCGCCCGGCTTCTGAGACACCGCGGGGACCGTTCAACCTTAAACGATCGGCCGTTACCGAAACGTCAGATCGTCCAACGTCGACCGATCCTGGGCCGCTGGCGGCGTTCAATGTTGAAGGCCGGAGGCGGGGTCGCCGGTCGATACGACGCTGCTGCTGCTGCTGCTGCTCGGTGGCGGTCGCTGCCGCGCGCTGCCGCGCGCTGCTGCCAGTTCCCTGGCGGGAGCGATCCGTCGCCGAGAACCGCAGAGACCCATCCCGCCGTCATCAGATATCGCACCTCGTCGGGAAATGTGAGTCGAAACCATGCTTAGGTCGGGCCTGTCCCCCTACAGGCGGATTCAAAGTAGTTAAAAAATCGTCCCCAAACTATTTTTTGACTATTTTTGAATTTTCCTTCTGTAGAAGGACAGGCCCGACTTAAGGCCATAACGAGGATAGATTCGGGTGGGATGAATCGAGAATCTCTCAGATCCGGCGGCTCTGGAGGATATCTCGGGCACTGCGGCCTTCTCAGAGAGTTCCGGAACGCTCTGAGAGCGCTCTGGAGCGGATTCATCCTCGTCCTAGCCCCGTCCGATAATGTCAGCACCTGCTTGCAATGTCGCACGCTCCGGTTCCAGAATTATGGCCGATGATGTCGGCTCCAACCTCGCATTCCCCCCTCGCTGAGCAGCAACAGTGCCCGCTGCCAGTTTCGACCACTCTCGCTCGTGCTTGTGCCAGCGTTGTCGTTGATGACTTGGGGCTCCATCTTCGATTTCGCCCATTCCCCTAAAGCGTGCTGCGGCGAGCTGCCTTTCCCACACTCGTTGACATCACGATTGAAATTGAGCCTGCAATACATTGAACAACCACATCGCCCGTTGCCTTTGCCCGCTTCTGTCGCAGGCCAGAATCCCAGCGCTGCAGCTGTTGGCGTTGGGCATCAGCTTCGCTTCCAACATCTCGCTGATCAGCGACAGAACCCGCTGAAATTGCATGCCTTTCTCGCACGCGCAGATCTCAGCGCTGTAGCTGACTAGGGCAGACCCGTGGATTCCGTCCACGACATCTTTCTGGAATGGTTCTCGGAGGAACGGTGGAGATCTGCCGAAAACCTATAAGCACGGCGGCGGCAGCGAGACCGCGCCTACGTGTCCGAGCTCCAGCAACGCTCCAGCAGCTTGGCCGTCGCGGGGCCGCCGTCGTCGCCGTCATCGTCGGCGTTGTTGTCGTCGCCGCCGCGAGGCCGCCGTCGTATGTAGACGGCGTCGTTGTCGTGGTGGTGGTTGTCGTCGTCGTGGGTTGTGGGCACCGGAAGGAGGCTGACGAAGTCCGTAGGACTGACCCGTGGACTCCGTCCAAGAGGCCCCCAGGAAGGCTGCAGGAGCGAGACACGTCAGGGCCCCAAGAGGCCCAGGAGAACGCTCGTGAACGACCAAAAGTAAGATGGATTTTGGGCCAAGTCCGGCAGGGAACGCCGAGCAAGCGTCAGGAAGGCCGAAGAGCCTCATGCGGAGCTGTCAGAATCGGTGCCTGGGCCCCCCCCCCTGTCGAAGCGCACCAGTGTTGTCTGCTGCGTCCAGCCGTGGCGGCGAGGAGCCCTCCTGAAGGCGAACTGTCTGTGTGTGAACTCGGCCTCTGCCGATTTCGTCTGGCCCGAGCCTGGGCAGAGGCTGGCATCCTCTCTGCGTCCATCGCCTGGCCCGCCTGTCGGAAGCACGCCCAAATCCTGTGCCACCCAAACACCTCGCGGCGCTGCGCCGCGCGAGGCCCGGTAACCTTCGCGCCCTTCTGCCCGCACCCTCGGAGACGGGCAGCGCTCCGTATGCAGCCACGAGCGGTGTGAGGGGTGCGCCGAGCTGGAGGGTAGAACCGCTGCGCGCCCTTCTCTGACACAATATTGGTTTCTCCTCCACCCTCCATCTCCGCAGAAACGAAACCCAGAACTCAAGAGTAAGCGCCGAAGCGCAGGTTTGCGAAAGGCGTCTCGCCAGAACCCTGGAGCCCACCTGGGACCGCGGATAATAAACATTGAGCGTGTTTATTTTCAGTCGACGTGGCGGGCCGAGGGATGGTCTTGGGGGGCGTTTTCTCGGCCGAGCGCTGGACCCTGGAGAATGGCATCCGAAGTTACGGAGTCTTTTTCGTGGGCGTCGTTGATCCACGAACGATCCGTGCGAGACGTCTGTGCCCCATCCGGAGCCTGGGGGTAAACCGTCAGAGTTGGTACTGGCATTCTTCCGAGCCGACGAACGTCCTGGGCGAAGATTAATTGCTCCGCCCTGGGGCGTCGGAAAATAAACCTCCAAGTCTGGGTTTATTTTCCGTGGGTATGGCCGCGCCCAGGGTAATGCATTGGGAGGGTAGGGACGGAACATCGCAGAAACGAAACCCAAAACTCCAGAGTAAGCGCCAAAGCGCAGGTTTGCGAAAGACGTCTAGCCAGAACCCTTTTGCCCACCTGGGACCTCGGAGAATGAACCTCGAGCGTGGCACTTATTTTCAGTCGACATGGAAGGCCGAGGAGTGGTCTTGGGGAGCTTTTCTTTGGCCGACCGCAGGACCATGGAGAATGGCCTCCGAGGTTACGGAGTCTTCTTCGTGGGCGTCATTCATCCACGAACGATCCGGGCGAGATGTCTGTGCCCCATCTGGAGCCTGGGGGGGGACTTCGAAAGAGGTACTGGCATTCCGTGGACGTGGCGAGTCGACGAACGTCCTGGGCGAGGGTTGGTTGCTCCGCCCCAGGGCGTCGGAAAATAAACGTCGAAGTCGGGGTTTATTTTCCGTGGGTATGGCCGCGCCCCGGGGCTTCTGATCCGCCTTGTAAGAACCTCTTTGGGCCCTGTTGGGCCGTCTGGCGGCCTCATGTGAGCCTCTTGGGGCCCTCTTGGTCCGTTTCGGGTGCCCCTTGGGCCGGCCTCTGGGACCGACCTGGGGCTGGTCCCTCTTGGTCTGTCCGGGCGCCCTCGTGGGCGTCTCTGAGCCGTCTCGGAGCGGCCTGGGGGCTCGGAATGTCAAGGTTTTTCCCCGTTCTTTGGCCCCCTCTTGGGCCTGGCTTGGGGTCCTCTAGGGCCGTCTTGGGCGCCTCTTGGGCCATCTTGGGGCTCCCTGGGCCGTCTGGGCACGCGCTCCTGTTGGGCCGTCCTGGGACGGTCTTGTGGTTCTCTTCGGCCGTCTTGGAGCGTCGGCTAGCCGAGAAGGCGAGAATGCACATCTCCTTCAAAAACCATTGAAAAATGCAGGATTTTGGCCTCTGGAGGCGAGAAGGCAAAACTCCTTCAAAAGCCATTGAAAAATTAAGGATTTGGGCCTCTGGGGACATGCTTCGGAGGACTGTTGGAGGCTCTTGGAGGCTTCTTGGGCCTTGTTGGGGGCCTCTACGGGCCCTCTGGGGCGCTCCTTGGAGCCTCTTATGGTCACTTCGGCGCGTCTTTGGGCGGAGGGCTCGATTTGTGACGCTCGGGGGCCAGGATCTTCGTGAGGGGTGTCGATAAATGGCCCATCCAGGGGGCGCATTTATCCACATGCGCTGTTTTGCCCCTCTGGCACGCTCTGGTGTCCGCCATAGAGAAGAGCTGACGTCGGGCTTCAGTTTCGCCTCCGACATCTCGCTCAGCAGCGCGAGCGCCCACTGCCACTGCTCGCCTTTCTCGCACGCGCTGATCCCAGCGTTGTAGCTGACTAGGGCAGACCTGTGGACTCCGTCCACGACATCAGCTCGACGCGGCCAGTTGAAGGCGCTCTCCACACCCTCCAGGACCTCCTGCTCTCCTGTGTTCCTCAGCTGCTGCTGCTGCTGCTGCTGCTGCTGCTGCTGCTGCTGCTGCTGCTCGGAGGTCCTGCTGCTTCCTCCCCCTCCTCCTCCTCCTCCTCCTCCGCCTCCTCCTCCTCCTCCTCTTCCACCTTCTTCTCCTCCTTCGCTGGATTCTCAATGCCCTCGGTCGGCAATCGTCGATCCTACGACGACTCTCCCCAACAGAGAAACATCGAAGGCCCTCGGAGCGTCCAACATTGTTCTTTTGTGCCTTCGATATGCCGGTCGCCTCTCGTCCGCTCCCCCCCTCCTGGAAGCAATTCTGAGGCCACGTAGGGCTTCGTGGGGGCCGTTTGGGGATCTCTTGGGGCGTTTTTGCCTGCGATATGCCTGTCGCCTCTCGTCCGCTCCCCCGCTCCTGGAGGGAATTCTGAAGCCACTGAAGGCTTCGTGGGGGCCGTTTCGGAGCCTCTTCGGCCTTCTTTTGGGCCTCCCGGGGGGGCTCTTAGGGCCCTCTCGGGCCGTCTTGGGTGCCTCTTGGGCCGTCTTGGGGCCGTCTGAGGCCCGCCTCGGCGCCTCTTGGGCTGTCTTGGGCCGTCTTGGGCCGCTCCTGGGGCCGTCTTGGGTGCCTCTTGGGCCGTCTGGGGCGCCTCCTGGGCCGTCCTGGGGCCGTCCTGGGGCGTCTTGGGACCGTCTTGGGGCCCTCCTGGCCCGTCTTGGGGCTCTCTTGGGGTCCTCTTCGGCCGTCTTGGAGCGGTCGGGGGGACTTCTTGGGCCGTCTTGGAGCGTCGGGAAGCCGAAGAGGCGAGGAGGCCGAAAACATCGAAAAACACAATAGAAATCAACGATTTCTGTCGCTCGGGGCCCTCTTGGGAGGCCTCTTGGGAGGCCTCTTCGGGCGTCTTGGACGCCTCTTGGGCCGTCTGGGGCGACTCTCGGGCGTCTTGGGCCCGTCTTTAAGCGTGCCGGGGCTCTCCGGGGCCGTCTTGGGGGCTTCTGGGGGCCCTCTCGACATGTCCTGGAGCCTGCCTGGGCGGCCCTGGGCGGCCCGGGGCCAGCCCGGGGCGGTTTCGGTGCATTGGGGCCTGCGCCCTTCTGGCACGCACTGGGCCCTGCAATGTAGTAGAGATTAAGGCCGACCCGTGGACTACGTCCACTTGCGGGGTGAAGCGTGTGGGGGCCTCTGGGGGTGTCATTGCAACGTGGAGCTCGACCCTCGCATTCGGCGCAAGCGTCTGCGTGTTGATTGCTGCCGATGTTGCATGTTGTTGGTCATGCTTGCCGCTGCTGCGTGTCGTTGTTGCTTGTGGCTGAAGGGTGCTGCTGATTGCCACGTCTGCTTGGTGCGTGTTGCGGACCGCTACCTGCTGCTGCTGTTTGCAGTGGCTGTCCTGCTTCGTATTTCGTACTGCTGACTTCGGGTAATAGGGGCGTTTTGGGCCGCCCCGGGATTATCTTTAGCAACCTTGGGGCTGTCCTAGGGCGAAGTCTGGAAATTAAGAAGCAACAGTGGGCCTTCTTGTCTACCAGTGTTCCATGGTGGCTGTGGCCGCCCGAGGAAGTCAGAGGATGCGCGCGGGCTGCGTGGGCTGGGGAGAAGATCGAAGGCACTGCGGAGCATGCCCCCAAATGCCCAGCCTGTCCAGAGCACTCTCAGAAAGAACTCCCGGACGAATCGCCCATTCAGAACGGAGCCTTTGCAAAGGAGGAGAAAGCAAAAATGCGCATGGGCGCCTCATTGTGGCCAGCGCGGTCCAAGAGTTATCGGTCCGAGAGCTATCTAAGAGACCTTCCTTCGGAAGCCTCTCGGAGGCGGTTTTGGGGGTGTCTTGACGCGTCTCGGAGAGTCTCGACGGTCTCTTGGGACCCGATTTGGGTCGTTGGGGGGCCTTCTGGGGCGTCTGGGGGGCCTCTTGTGGCGAGTTCCCCCTCGTGGGGCTCTCTTGGGACCGTTCTGGGCCGTCTTGGGGACCTCTTGGGCTGTCTGGGAGCTCTCTTGGGGGCCTCTTGGGCCATCTTGGCGCGATCTTGGGAGCCCCAGGGCTGGCTTGGAGCGTCGAGACACCGAAAAGGCGAGAACGCTGACCCGCTTCGAAAACCTAAGGAAAATCAATGATTTTGGCCTCTCGGGGCCCTCCTTGGGGGCCTGTTGGGGCCCTCCTGGGCAATCTTCTAACACTGTGGAGCCATCTGGGCCGTCTGGGGGGCCTCTTGAGAACCAACTGGCGGTCTCTGAGATCATCCAGGAGCGGAGGGCGCGAACTGTCAGTCCGTGTTCCCCCTCGTGGGGCCCTCTTGGGGTTCTCTTGGGCCGTCTTGGGGGCTCTTGCGGGCCTCTCGGGCCATCTTGGCGCGATCTTGGGTGCCCTGTAGCCAGCTCGAAGCGTCGAGACCCCGAAACGACGAGAACGCTGAAACCTCTCGAAAGCCCCAAAGAATTAATGATTTCGGCCTCTCGGGGCCCTGCTTGGAGGCCTCCTGGAGCCCTCTTGGGCCGTCTTCATGCACCCTGGGGCTGTCTGAAAGCCGTGTTGGCGACTTTTTGGACCGTGTGGGGGCGTCTCGGGCCATCTTGGGCCGTCCTGGTGCCCGCAGAAGCCGTCCTGGACGCCCCCGGGGCCGGCCGGGGCCGATTTTGAGCCGCCCTGTCCACACGCGGGATCCCTGGCACCGTAGTATAGAAGATGACGTCGGGCTCCAGCTTCGCCTCCCGCATCTCGCTCAGCAGCGCCAGCGCAGGCTGCCACTGCTCCCCCTTTTCGCACGCGCTGATCCCAGCGCTGTAGCTGATGACGTCAGGCTCCAACTTCGCCTCCCACATCTCGCTCAGCAGCGACAGCGCCGGCTGCCATTGCTCGCTCTTCTCGCACGCGCTGATCCCAGCATTGTAGCTGACTAGGGCTGACCCGTGGACTCCGTCCACGACATCTTTCTGGAATGGTTCTCGGAGGAACGGCGCAGATTGTACCGAAAATCTACAAACACGGCGGCGGCTCGGGCGGCGGCAGCGAGACCGCGCCTTCGTGTCCGAGCTCTTGCAGCGCTGCAGCAGCTTGGGGCTGTCTTGGAGCCGTCTTGAGCCGTCGCAGCGCGCCTTGGGTTGTGCTGGGTCCGTCTTGGCCCGTCTTGGGGCCTTGCTGGGCGGTTCCTCGGACCCTCCTGGGACTTTCTGGGGCCTCTTGGTGCATCGGACCGCCGAAACGGCGGGAAACGCAAAGGGTGTAACAGTAAACAATGGAAAATTAACGATTTTTGCCAGCTGGGACTCTCTTGCCATCTTGGCCCGTCTTGAGGCCCCGAACGGGCGCGTCCTTGGGCCGTCCTGGGCGCACCCTCCTGGGACCGTCTTGGAATCGTCTTGGGCCGTCTTGAGCGCGCCTTGGGCCGTCCTGGGCCGGTCTGGGGCCGTGTTGGCACCCTCGCGGCGAGGAAGCTCGGAGGCGGGCTCGAGGCCTCTTCGGGGCCATTTTGGAAGCTGTTGGGGCCTCTGTAGGGGCCTCGTTTGGGCTCCTTGGGAGCCTCCTGGGGCCTCTTCGGGGGATTCTTGGCGGCCCCTTGGGGCCTCTTGGGGGCCTGTTTGGGCCTCCTGGCGCCCTCTTGGGGCGGAAGGCTCGGATTTTCGGTCCGTGGTCCCCCTCTTGGCCCCCTCTTGGGCCTGTCTTCGGGCCCTCGTGGGCCGTCTTGAGCGTCTCTTGGGTCGTCTTGGGGCCCTCTTGGGCTGTCTTGGGGCGCTCTTGGAAACCTCTTGGGCCGTTCTGGGGCGCTCTTGGAGGCCTCTTGGGCCGTCTTCGAGCGTCGGAAAGCGGAAAAGGCGAGAAGGCCAAAATCCTTCCAAAACCGTCGTAAAGCGGACGATTTTGAGGCCCAAAACCGTCCAAAACCTCCTGAGGCGGTCCCCTCGTCCGCCCCCCTCGCTTCGAAGCAGTTTTTAAGCCCCGTGGCACCTCTTGGGGATCTCTTTTGGGCTCCTGGGGGCCTCTTGGGCCTCCACTGGATTCGCTGCCCTCGGTCGGCAATCGTCGATCCTACGACGACTCTCCCCAACGGAGAAACATCGAAGGCCCTCGGAGCGTCCAACATTGTTCTTTTGTGCCTTCGATATGCCGGTCGCCTCTCGTCCGCTCCCCCCCTCCTGGAAGCAATTCTGAGGCCACTTAGGGCTTCGTGGGGGCCGTTTGGGGATCTCTTGGAGCGTTTTTGCCTGCGATATGCCTGTCGCCTCTCGTCCGCTCCCCCGCTCCTGGAGGGAATTCTGAAGGCACTGAAGGCTTCGTGGGGGCCGTTTCGGAGCCTCTTCGGCCTTCGTTTGGGCCTCCCGGGGGGGCTCTTAGGGCCCTCTCGGGCCGTCTTGGGTGCCTCTTGGGCCGTCTTGGGGCCGTCTGAGACCCGCCTCGGCGCCTCTTGGGCTGTCGTGGGCCGTCTTGGGCCGCTCCTGGGGTCGTCTTGGGTGCCTCTTGGGCCGTCTTGGGCGCCTCCTGGGCCGTCCGGGGGCCGTCCTGGGGCGTCTTGGGACCGTCTGGGGGCCCTCCTGGCCCGTCTTGGGGCTCTCTTGGGGTCCTCTTCGGCCGTCTTGGAGCGGTCGGGGGGGCTTCTTGGGCCGTCTTGGAGCGTCGGGAAGCCGACGAGGCGAGGAGGCCGAAAACATCGAAAAACACAGTAGAAATCGACGATTTCTGTCGCTCGGGGCCCTCTTGGGAGGCCTCTTGGGAGGCCTCTTCGGGCGTCTTGGACGCCTCTTGGGCCGCCTGGGGCGAATCTCGGGCGTCTTGGGCCCATCTTTAAGCGTGCCGGGGCTCTCCGTGGCCGTCTTGGGGGCTTCTGGGGGCCCTCTCGACATGTCCTGGGGCCTGCCTGGGCGGCCCCAGGCGGCCCGGGGCCAGCCCGGGGCGATTATTGGTTAATGGAGCCTGCGCCCTTCTGGTATGCACTGGGCCCTGCAATGTAGTAGAGACTAGGGCAGACCCGTGCACTACATCCACAGCATGCGGCCCGATCTGGTCACAATTCCCCCGGCGGCCACGAAAGCTTACTCGCATGCAAGGGTGAGGTTCGATTGTGTGTGCGACTTCCTGTCTGCAATTCTGCCAGCGACGTTGCTGGCCCAGTGGCCTACAGCTCGTAGCCTGATCACCTAATTTCTTTGTTGCTTGCTTCATTGCTTGCTCCTCCGCTCGCTGCCGCTTGCTGCCGCTTGCTGCTTGGTACCGTCTGGAGGCCATCTTGTAATGGAGCGTTACGTCACCAACCCCCTCCCCCCCTTCAGGGCTGCCTGCTATTCTTCGCCCGATGTCGACGCACGCACTTCTGACAATCTTTGGCCGCCTAAGAATTTATCATTATTCTTCACCTCAGCGGAGATTTCTAATTCTTGAACTTGAGCTATGTGGGCCGTCTTCGAGGCGCGCCGGCTGGCCATTTTTAGGCCGTGAAATGCCCTGCGGGTGCGAAAGGTGCCAGGATGCAGGAGAAACCAGCGAGGAGGAGTGAGGGGAGATGAGCAAGGAGAGAGGAGCGTTGATCAATGGGCGAGGGAGCGAGGAGAGAGGGTCCAAGAACGACAAGCACACGAGTCTCCCAATTGATTCGACGCGCGCGTGGCCAAACCTTTCAGCAACGATAGGGGGGGATATTTCCGAAAAGCGCATCTCCAGTGCTTCTGCGCCGAGACGCTGGAGCAGTGGAAAACTTGAGGACAAAATCTAACGCCTGGGCAGTGTGCCAAATCTGTGCGCGGCATGCCGGAGGCCTCAGCGATGGACCCCGGGAGCCGCGGACAAAATATAACACGCCATCTTCGCGTTAAATTTTGTCCTCAAGCTCGGGGGG